TTCCACGTCGCGATGTAGGTGTACGAGAACCTCCAATGACAACAGCAACAGCAGCAGCAACAACACCAGGACCAATACCACGTCACGTTCTACACCGAGACAGCTGACGCGTAAGAGGAATGCCGACGTACCTCGTCGTGCTTCACCCCATCCCCCTCGGGCCCACGCAAGGGCACGTTTCAAAGGCTGAGCACAAAATTCCAAACACTGCCGGAGTCGCTCGACCTACGTGCGAGGGTATCGTGGGATTCTGTTCGCAGTTTTCACACAAAAAAAACTTTTATTACTCTTTTTAAAAAAATATTTCCGGTATATTGGACACCAGCCGCCATATAAGGCTGCACGTACGCCAGATAACGAAGTATATACCTCAGATAAGGGTACATATGCCAGGTGAGGCTGCATATATTCCAGATAGAGCTTTATATTCGCCAGATAAGGCTGCATATACGCCGAAAAGGCTGTATATGGGCCGTATATAATCATATAATGTTTGATATGGCCAGAGACGCCCCAGATCTAAAATTTCCATACAGGATGATAGCCTTGCTGATGCCGGACGGCAAGAGCGAGCCGCAAAGGCAAAATAAAGACGTTCTATCCATCCATCTATCGGAAGACTTACAAACTCTTGGGAAAAAATATTGCGCACGAAATAAAGCTTTTAATTATCTGTGCTGCAATTGTTTTTTTGTTTTTTTTGCCAATTCATTTGTGGTTAGAAAGGAACACCGACCAATAGACCAACAGATAGTCTAACCCTCAAGATGTCAGACTTCCCAACGTTTGAAAGACCATCAGACCATCAAACCTTCACGCCATCAAACCATTAGATGTAGTATACCCCATCTCAGGCTCGTATCGACGGGGGCGGCCCATGGGCCCCCCCCCCCCCCCCGAAATCTTCGATTTTGCTGGGACCCTCCTCCCCCCCCCCCCCCCCCATCATACAGCATTTTGTCATGGGCGCCCCCCCCCCCCCCCCCCGAAACAAAATGCTGGCTACATGCTTACTCCGTCTCATTTTAAAATTAACTAAGCGCCAAAACCTACGGGCTGCCAGGCACAATGACGAGCCAAATGTAAACCACGTGCTAGTATCACTCCACAGTGCCTAGAAGACAAGGCCGTAGTGCTGAGATTTTGCGCCACCTGCGAAGGCCGGCGCCGGACCACTCGGCTACGAGTGAAGTTTGAGCCAAACGTTGACGCAATCGTTGACGCAATCGTCGTGTCCAGTCTGTGACCAGCGTTGGCCTTCCCTGATGACGCCATCTCTATCAGCAATACGGTTTCCTTATCTGGGAGGTGTTGGTATCACTGCACCACAACGTTTTCTTCTGCTATTCGAAATTTCTAGCTTCTGGCCATAGCCTCCTCGATTAGCGCCAAGATGTATTGGTGGCGCCCTCTTATGGTTTCCCTTCGTGACGTCACGACTGGGATTTGCCTCGCCTTGACGTCACCAGTTGTTATCTTGGCTACTTACCATCAGGTGCGACGACGAGTTCGGTGGTGTGTTTAAAAAGCACAGTGGAAGCTAGGAGCCATCGCAATCCGACACTAACACCGTCAAAGTTGACAATCTGACAATGCTCATATGCCCCTGGTTTCGCCAATCATGGAAAGCTGACCGCAGCGACGCTTTTGGTCGCGCACATCGCTAATACTGACAAAGCCTGGTAGATCGCCACGAGACGCGGCCGCCGAAAGTGAAAAAGTAGAGAGGCAGACAAAAGGCTAACGCTTTTCTATCCAGGGAAAAGTTGCGCCATTCATTGTTGTGGAAATGCTCGAGACACGCGCCACATCTGTGAAGAACATGGCGTCTGAAATCTAGCTGTGTGCTGCGCTGCGCCGCCATGATCTTCCCAATGGCTGCGCGTTTCACGTGCCTCGTGCATCGGTGCACCTCGCGCTACTTTCGAAACATGAAGGGGCTTTACAAGAGGCATGTAACGGGCGCCCTGCTGCAGCGGCGAGACGCCCAAACACACTTCACTCGAGCGATGGAATGTCCGTTCCTCGGGCTACCGTTTTTTTTTTCCTCGTCGGGTTTTAAAATCATGTTCCCTGCAAAACTGTGCGCTGACTACATGCTCCCCGAGAAATGCTCTGTCCTACCAGATCCTCGCGCTCCAAATCTGCAGCCGGGCACTCTATGGCTGCCTTGTCGAACTGCCAGGCTTTGCGAGTATTCGCGACTCCAGCGACCTATAGGGGACGCCACTGCCGGGCAAATATGGCGGTCGAATCCAGGTCGTGCCGTGCCATGTGCCAGCTCAACGCACAACGCTGGGGCGCCAGCAAGTAAACATAGGACTCAACATTGGTTCTCCCGCGTTTTATCTTCCACGTTTCGAACCTATGGCGATGTGCTGGGGTAAGCGAACTTCTAGAGGCTCGACTTTCTTCGAGGAACCGAGGAAAGGACTGCCCACTGTCCTCCCACGGTACTGATGAACGTTGAGAAATGCAGAATGTCTGGCTCACGCGGTTCCATAGGTAGCGTGCAGAGCATTCTGGATCACGAGGCGATACTACGGTTACGACACTGGCACCGGTAGAACTGTTCCGTCGCGCAAACCACCGAGAACATGGAAACACGGAAGCATAAAGAGCCGAGCAGAAATCTCAAAGGGACCTGTTCCGGCCAGTTCAGTGTTTTCCCGCTGGGTGCCGTTCGTTTTGCTGGAGTCGCGAATAGAGGAGGCTATGTTCTGGCATATGAAAGGGGCCTTTCTGAACGCTATTTTTATTTTTACTTATGCGGCTCAATAGCACGAATGTAAAAATGATAACGTTGTACGGCACAGCCGGACCTTAGACGCGGAGCTTGCTGTAGACGTTAAGAACAGCGTCGTAAGTTCGGCTACTGAAAGGAGCCTTCTTAAAAAAAGCGTTCGTAAACGACGAGAAAAAGACACCACGCGATCACTACCACTGGCCGTTTCGGAAGCGAAAGAAGAGTGTGTGGGAAACACACGATATCTTTCACCGAGCACGCGACGCTCACGAAATTAGATTGAATGGGATTTTAAGTGCCTATAGGGCAGAACAAAAACACCTTCTGCCAAATCTTGGATTTCTTTATAAAAGAAAAAAAAAGTTTGTACGTTTAGTTACAAATATAAAACAGCATAACAACACCATAACAACATAACAAACGGCAATACTTTTGTGATATGTATGTGTTCGGCTATATATGTTTTTGCGAAGACATTCAAAAATCCTAAAAATTAGGGCGATTGAAAAAAGGAGAAACTCTCTTCGGGAACAAACTACCAGCCACGGCGGACGTCAGGAATTGCCAAAAACCTACTAATTAGCCAGATAATTAATTAAAACTTGTTAATTAACTTTTTAATTAGTGGAAATAGACTATGATTTCGATTAGAAAGTTGCTGAGCGTTATCGAAAACCACTAAATCAGTCATTTTCAGAAAGACTTTAAGCGCTTGAGATGAGTAGTAGCGCACTAAAATTACCACTCGTGGAGCAGGTACAAGGCTGGGGGCTAGATAAGGAGGCGGAAAAATCGCGCGGGCGCCTTACCGCAACCGCTAGCCTTGTACCTGCTCCACTAGTGGTAACTTTAGTGCGCTACTACTCGTCTCACGCGCTCAAAGTCTTTTTGAAAATGACTGATTTAGTGGTTTTTGATAACGCTCAGCAACATTCTAATCGGAATCATATGTCTATTTTCCCCTAATTAAAAAGTTAATTAACAAGTTTTAATTAATTATCTTGCTAATTAGTAGATTTTTGGCAACTCCTGACGTCCGCCGTGGCTGGTAGTTTGTTCACGAAGAGAGTTTCTTCTTTTTTCAATCGCCCTAATTTTTAGGATTTTTGAAAGGCTTCGCAAAAACACCCGGAATATATATATATATATATATATATATATATATATATATATATATATATATATATATATATATATATATATATATATATATATATATATATATATATATCTGTATATATATATATATTTTTTTTTTTGTGTGTGTGTGTGTGTGCGAACTACTTTTTATTACGGGGGCACGTTTTTCTAAATCTATGCGTCAGTCCGCCAGTCTTTGGGCTTTCGTCCATCTAAGGCACGGTGTAAGATACACTCTTTAGGTGAGGACACGGCGGGGCTGAACGCGCGACGCGAGGGATCAGCTAGTGTCCGTTTGACGGGCATCCTAAAGGCTGTATTCTTCCGCTTCCACCGTGCCCGCGGCTGACAGTGTCGCCGGCGGCCAAACGGCGAAACTGCGTGAGAGCGAAAAAAATTATCTCGTTGTCATGACACCTCGGTACAACATGGTCTTTCTCCACGAGCGACAACCTCGCTGGAGCTCTGCGCGTGTGGAGCATGAGGCGGCACGAGCCGTCTTTGCCGTGCCCACGAATCGACGAGTCATCTGCCGGCGTCGCTTAAAACCATAGTGAGAGAGGGAAAGACAGAGAGTGAAAAGCGAACTCTATCTGCATTGCGCGAGGAGCGCGCTGTCCTCACCTGAAGAGTATTATCTTACTCCGTGATCTAAGGGCGAGGCGCAGCATATCAAATCACCAAACCATAAATCCCCCAAATGCACGACTTAGCATCACAGTAATGGACCATCCAAATTGTCTGATGGTGCTTTACCAGGGGGGGGGGGCTTGACTTTGCGATTTATTTGCACGCGCTTTTGCACAAACGACACGCCGTAAAAAGCCGCGGCGCGGTCTCGCAGCTTTAAAAGCGAAGTGCAGTGAGTATAGAATGACATATAAAAATGAGTGATGTCAAGGGAACGCACGTTTCATGCAAAAGTGTAAGCCGATGAGATCCCTGACTAAAAAGAAAACAATCTCAAAACGCTTTGTCGGAATCGCCATGTGAAACACCAGGAAAGGCGGTTTCATATTGCGAAAGATGTGGGTATCAGCAGCCCGCAAGGGCGGCGGAAATACTTTCGTACTGACGTATGCAATTACCACTTCCTTTGGGATTACGTCATCATTTCGCGGTTGCAGTCGGCGGGTGAAAGACGGAGCTCCGCAACCGACAGTCGTTCTGAACTTTGGCCGTCTGAGCCTCGCGTGACTCCATCGTGTCAGCCCATAAAAGAAGGCGTGCGACGAGACAGTCCATACGTAAACCGCCAGAAACGGCTACAGCAGACTTTCTTTTGGGTGGCTCCATCATGTCTTATCAGGTTAGTTGTACCACCCACTCGAGTGCCAATAAGGCTATCGTACGTCTAGTTGCTCAGATAGTTTCAGCGATGTTTATGTAAAGAACCGGTGCGAACGCGTAATGATAGAACTTGCATATAACCCAGGGAAACAATCACCACTAGATAAAAAAGCAAATAAATAAAACTTATTTGCTCTAAGTCGGACCTATTTGATTTAGATTATATTGATTTGGTTTAAACCACTTCGTTTAAAAAAATTAACTTTTCTCACTATATATTTTTAGATATGGCCGGTTGATCCAGCAAATCACTGAACACAGTATGAAGGAGAAATTCACTGTCAATTTACTCATATTGCGAGGTAGATTCTAAGTAAGAACTTTTAATCTTGATGTAAGCCACGCAATACTACAAGAAAAGGACCGTGTTTTTTTTATTATTTTTGTAAGAGAAGAAGTTTTATTGGTGTAACATTTTTGCAAATTAAAAGAGGTGTAACTTTTAAGTTTACATGCTTTAAAGCTGAAGACTTTGTGGAAACAGCTTCCGCCCATTTTTGCTTTTCTTCGTTTAAAGCTTTCAAGCGGGTTCTTTCGCGTCAGCTTTGTGGAAACGGCGGAACTGCTGCCATTGCCGCTGCGGCCGGCTCCGGGCGAAATATCAACGGTCCCTGAGCAGCACCAAAAATGTAAACCAATGAAGAGAACGTTAAACGACGTAGAATTGTGACCTCTCAACTCGGCGCAACTTGGCTGAGTTCGGCGATGTCTTTTTTTAACTTTAAATTACGCAAATCGGGAAAATGAACTCATAAAAAAAGAAAAAAACCTGCAAGCTCGTGTAAGGCAAGACAAATATACAGTCGGATTCAATATTGACTGGCTTGCTTCGAAGGAGATAGAAAGAACAAAATTGTTTTTGAGATTATCCCCTATATAACCCGCCCTTTAGGTCTACTAGTGTTATCTAAAGACTCACAAGAAGTTCGTGATTAACCGCATTTATTCAGGCTGACAAGAAATTAGCCAAATTTGATCCGCGCTTTAAAGTTGTGATTTATTCAATGCAGACACAGTTTCACTGGCCGTATTCACTTCTACTACAAAGTAGTGGCCACACAGTAGTAATTAAAGGAGTGATTCGATGATTGTACTACCACTCTAAGGGACAAGCCAACGACTAGTGCGGATTACAGATCTCGCAGTATTAATTATTGAAGTGATTTGGCCAGTGTTCACTGCCTCGGCGAAACTGCACAAAACTACTACGGCAAGACGACATTTCATATGAAAACCGGTGGAATTCAAACTCATGTAAGAGTGCAGCGGGAAATGTTTTCTGTCGAATTTGGAGAATGGTTTGCCTGTTTACTGCTAATGATGAACTCGGAAAGACCAACCACTCAAAGGCACAAAAGGCGCTCTTTTGTCACTGAGCAAATGCCTTCAAACTAGGTTATCGAATCTTTTTTTAACAGGCTTGAAACTGGACTTTCTAAAGCAAAAAAAAAAAAAAAAAAACACAAAAAAAAAAACGACGTATTTTGCCTGGCGGCGTTTGCTCTTCGCGTGTCGTCAGGAGAGTAGTTGTTGCGCCACGTGCAAAGTGAGCGCGCCGCGGGGCAAAGATCGTTGATTCTTCGCCGCATATTCGCTCTATGTAGTTCAGACTTTAGTCAATCAATCAATGAATAAATAAATAAATTTTATTCTTATGAGTTGCATCATGCACATTTTTGAGAACCATCTGGGCCCATGGCCTTTTGGCTAGTTTGGGCCCAATTTAATAATAACATATTTGGAAGGCAGCAGTCTTAAGGAATATTTACGGAAGCACAATAAAAGAAAAGAAAACAAGAGAAAAAGGAAAGACAGTAGAAAAGAAAGGAACGTAGAAAATGACTTGTTTGGCTGCAACAAGTAATTTATACATTGTATAATAACGACACGCATAAAAAACACAAGTGCATGGAAAGTAAAATAAAATATGAATTCAATAACAAAATATTCCAGTGAGTTTCCGGATGGCGGGAGACATGTTCTATTGAGAAAAATATAGTATTTTCAAGAGCTGTTAAAGTTGCATGAATAGGTGACTGAAGATGGCAAAGTGTTCGAGATTTTAGTTCCGCACAATTCCTTCAGTCGTTCGCTCTATATGTTACGAGACTGTGGTATGTTAAAGCGACCAGACGTGTTTGCCCTTCTTAATCGAGTACCCTGATTAAGTTGTTCGTTGGCAGTAGAATTGTTTGATTTCAACATATTCCTTATTAAGCAAGCAACCTGATATTGTTTAATTTCCAGATATGTGAGAATGGGATGGCGATAAAATATGATACGTGACGGTTGGGAATAGTGGGAGTTGGTAAAGATTCTGAAAGCTCTCTTCTGAAATTTAATCAATGGCAAAAGGTAAGTGTCATAAGTTACGTCCCAGACTTCAATACAATATCTTTAGGGTTCCGTGCTTTCGGTTTTTATTTTTTCAAAATTTGGCGTACTTTTTTTCGGTTTTTATTTTGAAATTCATCTTTCGTTGTATTTTTTTTGCGTATATTTATCCCCAAAAAAGTTTATCGACTTTTTGTGATGAATATAAAATAAACACCAACGGACACCGGATCAGATTATCCTTGTAGCTCTGATATTTGTGATCACCCATAGAATAACGGCACGGATACATTGAAAACAGAAATGAATACTTTATTTGCCAAATGTGTGCCACTGTAAAAGAAACAAGAAAAAAACCAACACAGAAGTACAAACAAGTCAGGTATGAAACCTATGCCCAAAAAATATGGAACTTCACCTTCTATACATCAGGATTACGTTATCTTATTATAGTAAACACATTTGTACTTTCCCAGGCTCTCATTGTTAATCCGCACTCTTTCTTTCCTGTTAACATGACCCTGAGTTACGAAAATGCCCTCTCAACGATAACACTGGACACTGGCAGGCTGAGGAAATGAAGCCCTGCCTGAGCCAAAATCGGTCAATCAACCAATTGTGACCCCCAAAAGAGACACGGTGCGACGTTTTGAAGCTCAACACAACACGCAGAGCTTGCATCAAGTCAGTCTTCCTTACAACGAGTTTGAAAACAGGCTCGTACATGGCGAAGTCATGGGGCATTTCGGACTTCACGTTCCGATCGATGATGCGCACATTCAAATAAGACGTCGTGATGGCACCCGTGCATCCCACACATTGGGACTCGTTTCGATAGACAATGTCGTTCCACTTATTCGCCGTGGCTCTGCGGTACGGCTGGAAAATCAAAGTGACATTTTCCGGTTAAAACTGAATTTTAGAAAATGGATTCGACGTACTTTTATCGGTTTTTATCGGTTTAAATCGAAAATGCCGAACCTAAAAACTGACCTTTTTTGGTTAAAACCGAATTTCCGAAAATGGATTCGGGGTACTTTTATCGGCTTTTATTGTTTTAAACCGAAAACTCCGAAAACTAAGTATGTTAAATGACTATGAAATATAGCAAAATATGTAAGTTTCATCGTTGGAGTGTTAAAGCATTTTCTGCCCGTCAGTAAGGCATATCAAGCGTACACCCGTGAGCGATATGAAGCTGAACAGCCCTCTTCTTGTCTTTGACGCTCCTGCAAGTTTTGGAACAAGCTCTGCTCCAGAAGAGGGCTGGAACGCAAAGTTTAGACCCCAAGCCACGTACCATTTGAGACGTTGAGAGTTAATATAGCTTTATGGAGCGGTAAAACAGGCAAGAAACCAGGTAAGGTGTTCACCTTCATATTGCCGGCGGGTGTACGTTAATTTTTTACATGTGTTTATATGGTGCTGTTGGCAATGAAGATGTGTATCTGATGTTACTCCCAGATATTTAAATTAACTAACTTCCTCCACAATTGAAATGCCGGTAACAAATGCCTTTTAAAATCTAGGGATACACCGATGCTAATGTAATTCTCATTTAAGGAATAATTAATTTTCTAAGAGAGAGAGAGAGAGATAACGGCACTAATAGTTGATTTATTTGGACTGAATTCCTATTGACGCGGGGTGGTAATGATGTATTTTTCTAAAAATGCATTAATGCGTGGTACAGTCTGTCTTTCCAACAGTGTATTAATCGTGCTTAAAACTGATATAGGCCTATAATTTACAGGTTCATTAACACTCCCACAGTTAGAGATTCGGCAGACTTTAGCAATTTTAATGAATATGGGTATGCACCTTTTGTTACTGAATGGTTAAAGATATGTTCCAATGGAGAGCTAAGTGCGTCAATATTTTATTTTAAGACCTTAACTAAGGTTCCATCAGAATTTGAAATTTTTTTATTAGGCATTGAATTAACGAGATCTATAATTACTACAGTCGTAATTTCTTCAAAAATAGAAGTGTTCGGAAGAAAGTCAGGGAGTGAAATGGAATGTGCACTGCCGCGGACAATGTTGTTAGCAAGGGTGTCTCCAATATTATGGAGAAAGGAGTTGAATGCGTCTGCAGTCTCATCCGTGATTATAACTAAAAATGTTTCCTTTTCACTTTTTTTTTTTTTTGAGGTCCTCATGATTTTTAGATTTAAGATTAGAATAATATTCCTTTTTAAAAGTTCATATCAGTGATAGAGATAGGAATGCATTTTGTATTATGCCAAGCAGTAAAATTATGTTTATGACGTTTCAGTTTCTGCTGCCACATGTTCGTTTCTTGAAATGTGCATAGAATTCGACGAGTCATCCAGGGGCAAATGAGTTCTGAGTAACGGAGTTTTCTACATTCGCTTGACGAATCAACGATTGCCGTTTTCATTACTGTGATAAAATTTCCAAATTTGGTGTTGGTATCAGAATTGAAGAGTAAATTAAAGCCAAATGCCGATAATGTTCCTTGCAAAAGTTCGTAATTAATGTGATACATTAAATAGGGTGTACTAAGGTGAGGTGTTTCGTCAGTGTTTGTAGTTAGAAATATGAATATTGGAAAGTGACCGGCAATGTTTGTCTCATATACAGCAGCACCGTCATGTGCGTC